TTGCAAAAGTACGGATCGCTAGGTCTTGCGCATGTCCGCATGTCTCAAATTGCGCGCGGCCCCAACCCGATTGAAAGCCCCCCTGGACTTGGTGTGATTCTTGTTGGTCATGTTGGATCTTAGCCGTCCCAAGGGGCTCCGTCGGGTGATGCCGTGACAACTATTATGTTATAAAATTTGGTACCCATTATAAAACATTTGGTGCTGTATGCGTCACATGTTGGCGTAGCAGATGCTTGTGTGTGTAGATTGCTTCAAGACTGTGACGGATGGACGGTAGTGTACGACAGTGAAACCGTTAGAATATGTAATTTGCATATTGCCGTGAAAGCGTACCCGCGCTGCCTCATCATCAGGCCTTTGCTCCAACCAGACCACGCACCTAGCTACTATTTTTTTGGACCCATCCAGACAAGTTCTCACAATCCTCGCGAATCGGGTCACACATGGCTTTCATTTCTTCGGCCGTCGCACGAGCAAACCCTTTGGTCGCCCTTTTCCATGGCAGAACAAATACGAAAATTAACCAAAAGTTCAGGCTGATCAGAATACTATTGTGACTACCACTATTATTCATGGTGAAGTTTCATCACTTTTTGCGCGTGGTGGCTACGCGGGGTGCAGCTACAGAGAGAGGGCTCATGTCCTCCTGTGCACGTGACGTGTTCCTGGCGGCGGCGGCTGCTGCTGCTGCTGCTGCTGCTGCTGCTGTGGCCCCAGATCCGATGTTCGCTACCTTTCTTCCTTGTGGCTCCTAGCGTTTTAGGCCACACTAGTAACGAACACAACGCCACCATCAGAGACCAACGTCCCCTCCAAAGGCGACTGCCCCCAGAACAACCCCCCCTAGGTGCTCTCCTTGGCAGCCTTAGGCGGCTTCTTCTGTAGCTAGACTCCTTCCAGGGGTGATCGACAGCCAAACAGACTGGCGGTCCTTACAATGCCGTCCACAAGCCCGAAGTGCTCGACTCCTTTAAGGCCATTACAGCTCCAAGCGCTCCGAATTGAATGTTTCCCCAACACCCGCCCCAGGTTGCTTTCGGGGCCCTGAGCGGCCATCAGTCATCAGCTGATGGCCACGGATGCCCGCGAGCATGGCTCGCGACCAAAATCCCTTCCCATCCCATAACGGCAAAAACTTTTAACAGCGGCCCGCGCTGCAGATGGTGGCGCGAGGTTAGTTGAAAACACACTCGCCACAGATGCTGAATCTTCGCGGCAACGAGGGAGGAGATGCATATCCATACGTACTAAGTCCCCGTGCTGCATGCAGGGGTCATGTAACCCGCAGCGGCAGTGGTCTTGTGGTCTTTGGGAGACTGTTGGCATTTTCAGCCTCGTCTGGGAGTCCACCACCAAAAGGAAGTTCATCCTCGAGGAGGAGATGATTAAACCACACCCACTTTGACCGTGCTGCGGTACCAACGCTGCCGCACAAACTTGGACGAGACACACTTACGATGCAGAACGCGCCCTGTACGTGCCCAAGGAAATAGAAAGAGATATCTTTTGTGCAAAAGGTACGACGTGCACGAAAAACGCTAACGAGTATTCGCTTGTTTGTTACTTGGGATCCAAAATATATAGATGTGCGACCATAGAAGCGCTCGAAGCAAACGCAAAAAAAAACGAAGGAAGGAAAAGCAAAAAGCAACAGCACGTGATTATCACGTGAATTAGATGCAATCATCTGAAGCGCAAGCAGCGCTGCGCTGCCAAGACCTTTTAAGATCCTATCGCTCAATGACACATAAACAAATACGACCAAACGTGCCTTCGGAAAATTCCGCAACGCAAATGCGCGGGAAGGCGATTCCCATCACAAGAACATGAACGACGTAACACGGTGCGTCTCTACCACTGAAAACTGCCTGTAAGAGCCCAATTTCATATATGTACGACGACACGCCGTACAGCCGTGTTGCAGCACGACTTTGCACACCGCAAAGCAATGTTCGTCCGAAAGTACCCGTTGCTGGTTAATCGATACACTCACGCTTACCGGCATGCCGTACAATGTACAAGCTAGTTCATTAGTTCAGGAACCCCCATGATGCCACATCAACATCACATACCAGCCCGCTCTCAAAGCAAAACAACACAACCCTAAAACCCCCCCCCCACACACACCTGGCACCGCGTCCCCCGTACGAACCTCGGACGCCGCGGCGCCCTTGCTGGTTGTGATGGTTGTGATGGTGGTGGTGGTAACCCCCAACAGCCTGAAGCATCATTTCAGCGCGATCTTGACCAACGGGCCGCCCGCGACCCCCCTTCACCGTCTGTCCCTCCATCCCACCATGGCCCACTTCCATTACCACCATCACCACATCACTATTTAAACCGGACCACCATCCTACCGCATGTCTTACCTGCCTGTCCGCTGGCACACGGTTTGTCTGTCTGTCCGTCTGTCTGATTGCCTGTCCCTTCATGCTTGCATGCGCTCTGCCGCTTCAACTGAACCCAGCCACCCATTCACACGCCGACCTCGCGTCGGACATACATTCAGAAAAACACACCCTTAGATATTCCCCCTCGCTTTTCCCCCTTTCCCTCTACTTGTACGAACTCCAGCAGTACAAACTAACCTCCGCACCCGCTTTAACCCTCCGCTCCCCCTTCACCAAAACCCAACCCTCAATGGAAAGCCTGCTCATACAAGTAAGGCCTGCTCGTACGAAAGCACGGCGGAGCCAATGTACGACAGAATGCCATACCGCAGATGCCGTACGAACGCAGCGAAACCGAAGACCCTGTAGTTCCCTGTGCCAATAGAAACTTGCTACGTCCTTTTCCAGCACTTGCTTTGCAGTTCACATGTACGAGTTTTTCAATTTCTCCAATGGGTTTGCAGCACACTGAGAAATCCCTTAGTCCCCGCGTTCCGATACAACTTATAAAACAATTGACAAAAACATCAAAGTTGCCTTATAGGATTTCCCCGCTGCCAGGGCCCCCTCTGGGTCCCTGCAATGCCAGACGCCCAACCTGCCTTGGACTTTTTCCTTTCCAGAAGGCGCCAGAGGTTCGTTTTTTCCTTATTGCCTGCCAAGCCCAGCCGAGCCTGCCGAACTACGACAGGCGCTCCACATTAAACACCGTGTATACCGGTCTCCCCCCCTCTCAAAATGGCGGCGGCGGCTTCTCGCGTCCTCGTGAGCTTGGTGACGCAAGAAATCCCCCCCAAAAGCAAGAAACCGGCCCCATGCAAGGGAAGTTTGTGTTTCGGGATCTCTTTGAACATCATCCCAACGGCCGCACCCCCTCGACCCCTCCCCTTCCCCCCGGGTGGGAAATCCATCCGTATTCGGAGGTGTGGAACCCCGCCATGTGAAACCACGAAACCCTGGAATCCCCCCTACCCGCTGAACACCCGCTTTACCCGTACCACCCCTAGCCGTCCCGCAGGAGCTCATATCCGATTCCCGCCGCTGAACCTCCACAACCCAACCTCCGGCGTGGCTTACCCTTCTCCCCAAACGCCCCACCCTTCCGTCCCGGACAGACAGACCTACTTCTGCCCCCAGTGAAAGGAGTTCTTCCTCGTTCCCAAATTCTCTTTCCCAAAGTGCCCTTCTCCATCTCCCCCCCCCTTCCCTCACGCCTGCGTGTGTGTGTAGGGGAGGGGAGGTAGGTATGCGCCCAACACGAGTTATGTATGTATGTAGGGGATCGCGACTTCCCGGTACAAAAAGAGGGAGAGGGGGGAAATGTGACGTGTCCTCTGTGTGCAAGAGAGGTGCGTACGGTCGCGCATCTTTCCGTACAACCCGCACAAAAGCAATGGAATTTCAACCGTCCAAGATAAAACGCAGTACAGTGCAAGTGTGAGTGTACGAGAAAGCGTCGTACTTCCGTACATCTATTTCCTCGCTCAACCCGCCCATATACCGTCTTCAGCTCTTTACGCATGGCGACGAGGACAGAGGACCCAAGGGCTCCGTAATCTAAAGTCAGGTCAAGTCAAGTCAAGTCCAGACTCTGAGCTGCCAAGACTCGAGTGGCGAGGTCCTGAGGAACGCTCCTCGAAGTGGTCGTGGGAGGTCTCCGTCGCCGTGCGGATAACCCTGCGTGCCGTTATGCAGCCTGGCCCGGGAGAGGCAGGGAGCTGTGTAGACTGCAGCAACCAAAGACCCCCCATCACAGTGCTTCCCCCTCAGCCACGCAATCACCGCATACACACACAAACACACACATACATACATACGTACTCAGTGCTTGAACGTGCAGCGGAAAACAAAACATTCTTATGCACGCAGGACCCACTCCGCATCCATGGATGTTATTGTGGTGGTCCTGCGTGAGCAGCAGCAGCAACAGCACCACTACCACTGAGAGGTCGTACATGCCCACACACCCATCTGTCCCGCCAACGCATACCACACAGCCGCTCTTTCACAGCTCAGCAGCGTTTCTGTACCCCGCACCAGCTGTTAACCGCTCATTGCCCCTCTGGTCTGGTCAGGGACTTGGTGTGCGGTGGCGACTACCACACGAAGGACGGCTGTGCCTGGCGGGCTCGGCAAGATAACGCCATCAACAGAGCGAAAGGAAGACAGCCGCAACGACGGCAACGTGGCAACAAAGAGCTAAGTACAAATGAACACACCAGCGTACTATAGCACCAGCCGCCGCAGCCGCGCACTGGTCGCCTGGATGGGTTCCCCCTCCCCCGCCTCGCCCTCCTCTTCCCCTCCAACTCCTACTACTGCTACCCCCTCTCTCTCTAGCTCGCCGATTGCCCCCTACCTCCCGCAAAGGAACTGAATAATGCCACGGTAACAGCAGTAGCAGCAATAGCAGCAGCAGTAGCTGCCACAACGCCGAAAGGACCGCCATGGCCGTCTCTCAACCTCTCAATGATCGAAACACCCTCTGGGCCAAGGGCCACCAGCGGTCGCTCCAACGGACAGTCCTGACAGTTCCCTTCCAGACCAGCAACACACAGAGAGACGCCGCTGCCACGCTGCTGCTGGTTCAGATGTTTCTCTCTGGCGTTATGCCGCCGCGGGCTGCTGGACCTCGCGCGGGATGGCGCTGTAGCCGCTGCCATTGCCATTGCCGTTGGTATGACCGTTGTGGCCGTTCAGACCGTTTCCGTTATAGCCGTTACCGTTGCTGTATCCGTTAATGCCGTTATGGCCATTTCCCGCCATATGGTAACCATTGGCGCTATGGCCGTTGAGATACCCGTTTCCGTGACCGTTAGTGTAACCGTTTTGCGCCGCCACAACCGCCGCCTCCTGCACCATCGGAGCTCCATAAACCACGCTTCCGTTCCCATTTCCCGCCGCAACACCGTTACCGTTACCATTTCCGTTACTACTGTGTCCTCTGTTGGCGCTTATGAGGTCACCGTTGCTCAGATTGCCGCTGCTGCTGCTGCTGCTGCTCGCCATCCCCGCCACACCACCATTTCCATTGTCAGGTCCTCCAAACGCCTCCACCTCCACCTCCACCTCCGCCGACCCCGTCTTCTCCCCCAAGTCCGTGTGGTGGTCCATAGAATCGTCCTGCATGCTCGCATGGACGCTGCTGGCGTGACCGTAGTTGTTGACTCTCGACAGCGTGGCCACAGCCCTCAGCCAGGACTGGCTCATAGCCAGGTACACCGCCACCATCATGGGCAGCTGACCGGCGATGGCGCCGCCACACAGCAACAGCAGTACCTGGGGGTGAGTGGGGATGTGGAGGGGGAACGAGGCACGGAAAGAAGCTAAAGGATAAGGCAAACGGGACAATAAGAGGAACGAGCCAAGGCGAGGCGAGGGGGCGGAGCGGTGCAGGAAAGGGCGGGTTATAAGGGGTTTGGCGCAGAGCCTCCATCCACATCCTTACACCTAATTGTTTTATATTAACATAACAGTGTAGCAGTCAGTCTCTGTCGGAAGGCCCCGTTTGGCGGCTGGACTATATAACACTTTGCCCAGCCGTGGCTCCTGCTTATCCTTTAGGCAGTTTGGTGGGCAACCAACCAAACACACGTACCCCCCCCCCATCCAAGACACTGACCGACGAGTTCCTTCCACAGGGGTCCCCCTACAGCCCTAGGGTAACCCTTACTTGCAATGCAGGCAGTAGCTTGCATGCAGTGCGCGGACCAGGAGCCACAGCACCATGACGGGCATAACTGGGGTCGTAATGATGCCGTATGCCGTACATTCAGTGAAATAAGCACTATTGACATACCTACATACCTAAACACACACGCACGCTGTTGTCGTTGTCCAGAACCCCATTACCGCACCTGTTGAAGCACGCTGCCCCCGCTCTTGCCGGCCTGGCTGCCGACCACGTCGATGGCTGCCTTGCCCTTAGTACGTCCCTCCTCGTCCAGGGAGATGTAAACCATCTCCTCGGCGGGCTTGAACAAAGAAAACTTGGCGGACTTGCTGAAGACGTACAGCAGTGCGCCGCCGTACACGAGCAGCTGCAGTAGGCCCATGCCGGCTGCGGAGGTGGCGGCGGTAGCAGCTTCGGTCGTGTCGGGGCGGGGATGGGGGCGGGGTTGGGGGGTTGCCAAGCTGGTTATTTCGGGGAGGTTGGTGGGCGTTAGGTTAGGCGCGTTCAGGTGTGGATGTGGTGGGGGGAGGTGGGGGGGAGGTGGGGGGAAGGGCAGAGTTCAAAGCAGCAACAACGGGTGGTGGCAGTGGTGGGTAAGTGTAGGGGGTTATGTGTGGATACGTGTAGGGGGTTATGTGTGGGGATAAGAAGTGGTTGTGCGGGGAGATAGCATACCCCCAGACACGGGTGGTAGGCTAAACGGCGCGGTGACACGTCCCGTCACGGGAGGCGGGAGATCGTTTAAAGGCGCCTCGTGGGGCGCTAGCATGAGGGGAAAAGAGAGAATTGACACAGAAACCAACAAGTAAAAGCTCTCCAGTTCCGACCCGGGCGGCCCAAACCACTACTTATACCAAGGGCTCCAGGCCGACATCGCAAGCGACCAACCACCACTCACCCTGCGGCCGTGCTCTCCCCTCCTAGGGCAGACCGTGCGTAACCCTCACCCAGCCCCCCAGCGTGTATTTCTCCCCCCCACCTCCCCCCTTCTTAGAGTTTAGTTAACTTTAACCCCCAACCCTGTTACCCGCTCCCTGGCCGCCCCCGTACACTCCCATGCACTCACTGGGCGCCAGCACAAACTGGTAGACCATGGCCGTCGCAAAGAACAGTCCACCGCCGTACAACAGAATCTTGGGGGTAGCTGACGCCACACCTGCCCAGCCCAGTCGCTCAAACATGGTGGGAGACAGCACCATCAACAAACCTGCACATAATTACATACATACATACGCACAGCAGCAGCAACATCATCAACGGCATGGCAAAGCTGATGGACTGGTCTGCAGCACGGGAACGGGTCCATATGCAGCCACACAGCGCTACATCGATTCCAACACCAGGGGGGCGGCGGGGTACAGGGTCGAGTTGTGTGTGTGTGGGGGGGGGGAGAAGACGAACCACACGAGTGAAGCTGCTGCCAGGGCAAGAGTTGAGGGGGGGGAAAGAGAAGACGGCCCACAAACGCGTGATGATGATGACATACATACGGTTCGGTGGAAAGGAAATACCCAAGGCGCCACTTGCGCACGGGAGGAGTCAACTGACTGACATTACCGCCCCACGTACTCACATTCGCCTGCTGGGGGTAGTGTGCTATGTGAGGGTTTGTGAGGGTTTGTGAGGGGGGGAAGGGGGGTGTAGATGCACAGATCCGTACAGATTCCCACACACAATTCAGAGGGGTGTCAAGAGTATGGCGGTGTGCAGAGTACGGTCGCCAGGGAGGGAAGTACGGGGCAGGGCAAGGCAAGGCAGTATCAGGCAGCTCTAGTATCAGGCAGCTCTAGTATCAGGCAGGTAACGAAACAGGTAGATATCGCTGACCTCCCCGCCACCCACCCACCCTATCCCACCTCATTGCATCATAATACACCTTTTACTTGACCCACCACAACACCAGCACAGCCGCGCACCCATCCACCCTCGCGCACACCCACCCCCCAGCCCTCGCACACCTAACTCCCCACCCCTCGCGCACGCACCCGTCACAATCCCCTGCCACGTGGACACGTCCCCCAGGAAGGACGTGAAGGCCGCAGGGGTGGGGTACAGCAGCCGGATGTGGCTCTTCCAGGCGAACTCCATCAGGTTTGTGCACAGCCCTTGCGCCATAGACATCACCACCAGGCAGCGGATGGGGACCGACGAGGCCAGGGTGCTGTATGTATGTATGTATGTGCGTATGTATGATCGGGCGGAGGGGGGAAACAGGGTGGAGGGGTCGGGAGGTGGGGTGTGTTAGAGCAACGAGGTACCAGGGGGATAGAGATGGTTGCCCGTACAAGCACTAATCCAGTACTACTACTGCCACTACCATTAATTTATCACAGCGCATGTGTTTTGGACGGCCAGTACGGCACTTAAGTACAAGGATACGTCATATAGACTTCGCAGCATCTTATGCGCCCGGGATGTACGACCTTACCGATAAATCTCCGATAGATTTTGTTTGCTCTGCCGCCGTTTCCCTTTGATGCTGCTGCTGCTACTGCCGCCAACTGCCCCGCCGTTGTCCGTCGCAGCGGCAGCCGCCGGCGTCGTCGTTGTCGTCGTCGCGGCCGACGCCACCGCGGTCATTGTGGCGGCGGTAGCAACCAGATCTCCGCCCTTCCCCTCCCGCGTCCCCACCGCCGCCGCAGCAGAATCCGGCGACGTCGGCGCTGCCGGTCTGGAAGAGGACGACGCGGCGGCGGCGGGCGAGGAGGATGTACTGGCGGCGCTGAGGGGCTGCATCTGGTTTTCCAAACTGCGCGGCGTCGCGTCCGCTGCCGCTGCAGCCGCTTCCGCCGCCGCGGCGGCTGCGCGGCGGCCGGCGCGCGCCGCCTGTTGCTGCTGATGCCGCCGCTCGAGTCGTTGTCGGTTGTCCCGTACGGAGATGGCGTGATGGAGGACGAGTGCTAGCGTAGAGAAGACCAGTACGACACCCATGAGGGACTGTACTTCACTTGTGAAGGAGGCCGCGCCATGGGAGGCAGGCCCGGAGAAGAACTGCAAAACATACATACAAACAAACATACAGACATATAAACGCATACATACATACATACATACATACTTACATACATACGCATGAACACGACCCGGGAGGGCCCCGTGGGGATGGGCGGAGTCTCTTGCCACACACACTCGCACCCTTGCTGACTACATTTCACAGAGGGCAGGGGGGCGCCGATTGGAGCAGAGCAGGGCAAACTGCCCCACTGACCTCGATGGTGTTGGTGCTGGTGCTGGTGTGTGTGTGTGTGGGGGGGGGGGGGAGACGAACCACGGACGAGTGAAGCTGGTGTGTGCGTGTGTGTGTTTGGGCGTGTGTGAGGGAGGGGGGAAAGGGGGGAGTGCAACCGGCAGTACCGGGAGCCCTCCAACCCGTTTGTGAACGTGCAGTACAGCTCGGGGTGCTTTACATGCCCCATACCCACCGCCCTTCCCCCAAACAGGCAAACATGTACATATACCCATGTATACATACATATATATACCTAAGGTTATACATACCTAAAGTCTTTTCAACAAAAACACGTCCAAACGTTTCCTCCCCTGACAAGAACCCCACATCGCGCTTACCTTGAGGACGAAACCCGCCAGCGCCTGCGCCACATTCGCACCCAGCCCGAACAGCGGGTATAACGTGGGCGCGTCCGCTAGGCTCGTGGTGTCGTTGGCTAGCCCCCAGAACAGCAGCCCCAGACACACATCGCCCCACAGCTCCGACATGCAGAAGAACAGCGTGAATGTCCAGTTGCGGATCATGCCCACGGCGCCGTCCAAGCCTAGGGGCAGGGTGGCGGCCAGGCCCTCGGCCCAGCCGACAGGATGCAGGTGGTGGTGGTTGGGGTAGAGGAGGAGGGCGAAGGCGACGAAGAACGTCATGAAGACCGCCACGATGCCGTTGAAGAGGGCCTGGTGGGATGGGGGGTGGGGGGGGGCGTGTGGGGTGTGGGGTGGAGGCAAAGGTTGAGTGAAGGCGGAGGGGGAGGGGAATGCACAGGTGGCGAGGGAAGGAGGGGTCGTCGCCGTATGTAAAAAACACCCACGCGCACAGAAGCACACGCGACTTCTTTCCGACAGCTAAGAAAACGACCCGTGCTGCCCCGGCCTCACCTGCCTCCGAAACCGCTGTGATGCGTACGAGTACAGCAGCAGGAAGATCAGCGAGGACGGCAGTACGGCATACACCGTCAAGTAGGGAATGACCTGTTGGCGATGCGGAGGGCAAAGAGAAAGGGACAAGTATGGGGCCAAGGGCTGGCGATATACACACACATACACACACATATCAAGCAGCATGGACCTGATCAAGCCCCGGCCCCCCCGCCCCACCCTGGGACTATCCGGGTATCCCTCCACAGCACACACCGGCCCTATCCAATAGGACGACGACGACGACGACGCCTCGATCTACAGCTCTAAAATCCCCTTAAACTCCCTTTCCGGCCCCCCCGACTCGTATAAAGTTCATAACCATTGTGCGCTCCGCCCAGGCCGACAGGACAGCAGCGGGAGCAGCAGCCGTTGCCCGCGCAACCGCCATAACAGCAACTCCACACGCTGGATTTCCCTTTCCCTTACCTCCAGTCAGCCAACCAGCCACGGCCAGGACAATGACAGCCGCGAACCCCCCTTTGGCCCCCCGGCTACCTCAAACCCCAGCTGGGCTGATTCCCCAGGCCCTCCTCTCCTCCCCCCCTGCATACTTCCCGCCCCACACCGTATTAACCTCGGTATTCCAAACCCCCTTAAGGTTAACCGGGGGAGAAAACCCGGAGACATTCCCCCTTCTCAAGCCCCCCCCCCCGCCAATCACCTGCGCTCCACCCCCCGCCGCCGTAATGACCAACGTGTCCTTCAGGCTGTCCAGGATAGTGTTGACGAAGGCCAACATGAAGAACAGACCCACCATCGGCATGAACTTGCCGGATAAGGCCCAGAACCGACTGGCCTGGCTCGTCACCGTGTCAGCCAGGCGCTAGGAGCGAGAGGGAAGGGACGGAAGGGGGAGGATAAGGGAAAAGCATGGAAATACCAGACGCGATAGCGGGAGGCGTCAAAAGATGATGGCGATGATGATGATGATGATGATGATGACGATGATGCAACATCCAAACTAAACAGCTGGTGATGTCCAAGGCGCCAACAGAGGGAGGAGAGTGGTAGACTACCCGAGGACGAGTTGTTACGGACTGGGTTAGTGGGGGGAGGGATGGCTGGGCTGGGAGATGGGGGCGGGAGATGAGGCGGCGTGATGCCGTACGGATAGATAACTTGACACGTTGCTGGCGCGAGAGGTTTGGGGGGATGATGGATGAGGGGTGTTTCGGGCGATGCTGTGGGCCCACATCGCATCTTCCATCGTCTGTCATTCAGCAGGACGTCGTTTTGCAGCGCTGTGCATAACTTTGCCTTTGGCGCATGAGTATATCGCTGCTCTTTGTCTACCGATTCGGTGGCCAATGCTGGTATGCTTAGCGCTGTTAACTCTTCAGTATTATGAGAGTTGCAGTCCACGGTACGTTCGTACCTGCATCTCTGCGGTCAGGCTGGGCGCCGCTCCGGAACCATTATCCCCGGCGTCCCCCGCTGCGGCCGCAGATGCAGCCGCCGCTGATTGGACTCCATTACGCCGATTGGGTAAAGGCGTGCGGAGCTTGGCGCGGAAAGCTGTGCGTGGTGCATGGCTAGAGGCGGTACGATGCGCATGCGTGTCAAATTGCGGCAGCCGCCGCAAGGCATCTACGAAGCACGACAGGAGTGAAGGTCACAATGGTTAAAGTGACTTGAATCTGTCTGTAATCCGCAGTCTGGGGTTGCCTTGCTCCCTCTGCTGACCCGCGGTCCTAGAAGACGGTTGCCCCGAACCACGTCATGACGCTTGGCTAAGATTAAAGCAGCAAAACTACAAAACTGTGAGTATCCAGGATCTGACAACACTTTATGCAAATTCCAAGACACAGCTGTGCTAGCCGCTGCCATGCACGCAAAGGTACCTGAAACAGCTGGGCATGATTTGCGAAGGCCGCCGCCGACGGCTGGATTATGCAGGGACAATTGGCATCTATGAAAAAATTTGGGACACGAGTAAGTATTGAATTCGGTTCATTCGTGCAACGACTCGACAAAAGGCGCAAGTTCCTCACCGCGGCGTGCGGAAGCGAAGATCTTGAAGTCCTGTCGATATGGGACCTCCCAATATGTAGCCTGATGCCATGCGCTACCAGGCTGTGAATCAGCGCGTGGCAATCTAGTTTGTGGTGCTGGGGCGCGATGGGGGGAACCAAAAACGTCCTCGCAGCTACAAAGGCTATGGACCCCCAAAGTATATGTCAGACACCTATAATGTTTAAGATAATGCTATCTAGGAGATGCAGGTTGTTCTGTTACCAACAAGCAGAGTAGGGCTTATCGAACAAAAGATTGCAAATGAGAGTATAATTTGCCCGACATACTAGCGCCTAGGGTCTGCCTTCTTGCTGGTGAATTTTTAATTTAGCTCCTGCTGGGCAGTAATACGCAAGGGTTACCAGACTGTACGGCCTCAAACTCTTGCATGACCGTTTCAAGTTCATCCAGAAATAGGCGACAGATCAACGTAGTTTAAGGCAGTCAGGGACCACCTCAATTAACTCTACGGCTATGGGTTGTGTAAACATGTTTGTACGGAGCCCACTTGTGACCAGCTTTTACTTGACCAGATTGCAATAATGAATCACATTTTCCGAACTGTCCTTCTCTGCAACGGTGCTAGATTTGATGCACATGCCAGGCCTTGAAAATGCGGGAAAATGCGGAACGCTACCTAATAAGACTTGTATGCAAACGGCGACAACGTTGCAATCAGGACAGGAGACGGGCGCTCTGGACACCCTTAGCAAGTCAGACGTTGTTGCGGCTGTCGACGATGGCTTGGCGGCAGGAGGACCAGTACAAAAGCTCTTCCGGGCGATGTCAGAGGTATGAAGGAGCATCTGCAGCCTGCCTCGTTCTAGGGCAGAGTCTCATCCCGCCTTGTGCCGAAACCCCTTTCCCTCAGCTGCACTTTTTCCGGATACCACGCCTCGCCTCGCCTCGTGTCAGGCGCACCCAATTTGAGCCAAACCTTACCATTACGCCCTCCCCTGGCCTATCACCGCGAATCGCGGCCTGCGAAACATTCTCATGCCCTCTCTTCCAGGTCCAGCGCTGGAGCCGGGCTAACGTCACCATTATACTTAAATTCTTGGAACCGTATTATTGCCATGGCGTCCCCACCTGCCGCGTTGGGTTTCAGCACTCAGTTAGACTGCCTGCGGTTTCGGTGGGGTCCCACTCCCAAAGCCCATGCCACCCCCCTACTCTCAGCCCTGTCGCCGGCCGCTGCCATGTACTTTGCTGCGCGTCCCTTCCCTCCTCACTCTGCATTTCACCTGACCAACACTATGCCTACCTTCTTCCGTGCGTTAGCTCGGAGCTCGCCATTCTCCGACATCCCTAATGCCATCTCCTGTCCCTCACACCCCATTCTGGGCCCGCCAGTCATCAGCTCCGGGTTCATCACCCACAACAAAGCCTCAAGCCCCCTCCTGACCCAAAACCTCCCATCACCCCCCACGCCTACCCTCGTTGGCAGATCGCGACCATGGACTTTGAAGTGTCCCCCTCTCAACTCATGGCATCCCTAAGTACCCCTGACTCCACGGTCGTTGACCTCACAGCCCCAACTGACAGACATACATCGACACGCACACGGCCCCCAACCCCCAGGCCGGCTGCCCCATGGACCGCAGCTACTTCCATGTGCTGCGGTGCAGTGCAGCGGTGGGCGGCGGATTCTCTCCCGAGCACGGGGTGAGGTGCGAGAAAGGGTAGTCGGGTTGCTTCAGGCAGTTCCTGCTGGGGTGGAGTAGAGACGGGGGAGGGAGACGGGGGTGGACCGTGGTATCTAATCGAGCCTGGTGCTGCAGGACATATCTGCACTGCCCGTGGCATGTATGTCGGTCTGTCGGGGTAACGGGATCCATTGGGTGGTTGTTCCTCATCCCTGCATAAGTAGATCACCCTCCAGATCCAGATCCAGGCCCGCAACTGATTTTCACTTCGGACCAGTTGCAGTAGCCGGCGACTGCAACCGCACAGTTCGCACACATACCCCGATTAGCCGAGCTCACGCCTACTTAGCAACAAGGGCCTGGACGGGGTGGGGCTAGGCCCCGGTAGAGGGGCTAACCGTAAAGATCTGGCTATAGCAGAGCTCGCTTCCTAACCAGTCTGCAGTGCATCTGCGGCTTTTGCATTTTAGCTCCTGACAACAGACCTATGGGACATTTGTCAATTGACCCAGTGAACCCTTGGGTCAACTGACCCACGGGTCAGCTTTACCGCGGCTATGGTCCGATCTATGGACTGCTCCCTAGCGGATCTGCGTGCAGCTCGCAGGTCCATGGGAAATCAAATGTTGTTGCATCTAGTGTGTGTGTGTGTGTTACATGGTAGTGGGGTGCGTCGTTCCCCGTATACACCTGCAAACCGCCCAATACGAGCCGAGGGGCTCAAGGGCTGCCAGATCGCCTGTAAGCAGCATCCTACCTCGCACTTCAGACAACGCAAGTGAGAAAACATATTAGCGACCATAGGGAATGAGTCTACTGACCTATGGCTCGTTTCTCTTGTGTTTTCCCCGGCTCCCCAGGTCATTCTCTGCCATAACCGGCTGCATACCCGCCGGGAGGTCCTGAACGCCATGACACACGAACTAATACACGCATACGACCACTGTCGATATGGAGGTCACATCGGTGCCGCCACTGCGGGGCCGACGGCGGAGGTGCCGTCATCATCCGGGGTGGACTCGGCCTCCAAACCCACTAGCGGCCACAGCGATGACACTGCCGGCAGCAGCATTATCGGCGGCAACAGCATCACTGCAGGAATTAGCAGTGGGCGTGGTGGGAGTGCCGCTTCCGTCCCGCAAGTGAGCGGTGGCGGGGAGGAAGGCGGCGGCACCGTCATCGCACCCAGCGGCAACATTGTTGACAGCTGTAGCGGCAGTAGTGACAGCAGCAGTGGCGGACGGAAAAGTAGCAGCACTATGAATGCCCCGGGCGGCGGCGGCGGCGGTGGCTTGGATTGGAGCAATTGCCGCCATCACGCCTGCACCGAGGTAAGGCTTCCTAAATTTCCTCCCCTGCCTGACCGGTTACCCCTTTTTTAGTAGGTGCAGTGATATATAGTAAGGTAACTGCCGGTGTAGTTGTGCACTGCTCCCTGTTCTGGTGTGTTATGGGGCTTACTTCGTTTGCCCTCCGTTGGGGATCGATTCCCCCGGTGTCCTTTCCTAGGTTAGTTGAAAACTAGGATTCCTCTGAGCCTCTTTTTGGCTTGGTACAGTTTGGGTCGTGATGTGATTTTTTTCCCTTGATAAACTGCAGATTCGGGCCGCGAACCTGAGCGGCGACTGCAGTCTTTTTCAAGAGCTGCTTCGCGGCAATCTGCCGTTGTTGCCTCTGGGCTGGGCGGCGCAGCAGCGGGCGTGTGTGGCACGGCGCGCTGCGCTGAGTGTGGCCATGAATCCTGCATGCGGCGGTTCGGATGCTGCCGCAGTGGTGGTTTCAGAGATGATGCCGATCTGTCTGGCAGACACGGCACCGTTCGACGCGTCGGCTGCCGTAGCAACATCCTGAGCCAGTTTTTCCCTTTGTTCCGGTTGTGTTGTCAAATGTACAACAGTCGCAGTGGCCGTATTATGCTTGCAGCAGCAACAGTGTATTGTTCTGTTGTTATAATTGATTGTTGTCGTCACTGTTGGTATCTTCAGGAACCATCCTGAGCATCTTTATTCATGCCACCCGGTGGTGATGCCAGGAATGTAGATGGCGGGTAATATTGGAGTGAATATGTATGTGCGTAAATATTGCTTATAAGATCATATTATTGAAATTACGGATACGTGATTTTTGACAGGAAATAATGCTGGAGGTAGTTAGCATCGCTTTGGCTTGGAAAGTGGTGTGACCAGAGTGTAGAGCTAGTATGGGCGTGTGTGCGACGGCGTAGCAAGGGAGTAAGCCAGAACCACATGCAGATCCAGATGCACACTATGTCGATGAGGAGATAACATGCCCTTACGAGCGAACCCAGCCAACCGCATGATTGCCGTACAGCCTTTTGGATGGTTTGTGTCTTTGCACTGCCTTTCCTTTCGCAAAGCTCGATATGAAAAGGGCATGATCTACGACGCCGCATATGAGGGCCTTCAGCAGTAACATGTGGACACAACGGATCCTCGCACGATGCAGCATCTGTCATTTGTAACAACTCCTTGAGAACACCGTTGTAAATATACCCCATCAGGAACAGTGGCTCTTATACAGTAGTGTTACTATTCATCGTGAAAACCGGAGTTTGCTAGTGGACTAAACTATGGTACAAGCGCTTTGGCAGCGCTGGAGCGCCGGATGCCGTAGGGGTGCTTTTCAGGCTGGTGTACATCGCTCGGTAGTTATGTTCTCCCGTGCAGCCGGTTCGCTTGGGGGCCCCCCAGCGGTCGGGAATCGTCGATTGAGCCCTTCCGAACGGCGCCAACAGACTGGATGGGCGCAGCGGATTGCCGATAAACAGTCTACAGAGCTGAAGCGCCTTGACAAAATGAGCGATCGCCTTCAGAACCAATTGCTGGACCTAGACCATGACTTCCCCGGCGATGACGGCACGTCTGCTCGTGTTCGCAGCAACTCCATGGCGAGCAGCAGCTCCAACAGACGCAGCGGAAGCAGAAGCGGGCGCCAAAAAAATCCTAGCATTCGGTTTACAAAGAACACGCGAGGCAGACGGCCGCGCAGAAAGTCTTTCCGCCCCGTTCCCCCTAGCCCCGAAGTCCTCGTGGCGCTCCTTCGCCGTACAGAATCCAAACGCGCACTGCTGCAGCAACTTAATGTTCATAGCCCACGAGCAGGTCGGTCCATTCGTATCATCGCATGGTTACTTTGGGAGGCACGGACCGTGCGGGTTCACGCTGGGGTAGCCGCTAGTCAGGATGAACTCGTAGCAGAATTAGTGGGAGAGCAGGGTTTGCCAAGCCGCGGGGTTAGCTACTCATTACTCGCGGCTCAGTACACTAAAGCGGTACTCAATTCCCCGGCTTTTCCCCTTCCTCTCCCCAAAGAATAAGAATTATACCTCTTACTACTCTTCCTTGACATGCACGTGTGTGCATGTGGCTTTTCCTGCTGTCCCTCCGCCGTCTTCCGCAGTGGCCAGTCGCCTGCTGCTGCTGTCATCGCTTCTGGACCTTCCGGTGGATCATCTGACGTCAATGTCTCGGCAATGTGGTCGGCTTCTGCTATGTCGACCAGATCAGCTACAAACGGCACTAGCAGCGCTGGCGGACTGTGTACAGGCACTCATGCCAGCGGCGGCGGCGCCGCCACCGCCTTACAGCAGCGGCAACCGCTTCGCTTCGAGCCGTCCGCCGACGGGTAAGGGTGAGCAGCAGGAGCGGCGGCCTGGTGATTGGGGTGGCAGAGGTGGCGGCAACGGTGGTTTCGGAGTGCGTGAGGAGGCTGAGGAGGTGGCTCGGGAGATGGCGGTGGCGGCTCCGGAGTTGCTGTTGGTGTCCCCCCAGAGGTTGCGACGCAGCGGACAGGAGCTCGGCGCAGTCTGCAAAGCGAGGGGTTTTAAGGTGTGTGTAGTGCCGTCCTGTTTCCCTTCACAACCCTTCCTGCATGAATCAAAGCTGCATCGCCTGCTCTGTGCACCCCAGCTCTCCCAGGGGCCCCTTCCCCCCATGGCCCAGGCTGCTACCTTTCCTAACCCCCGTCCTTCGCCAGTAAGTTGGTATATTGGATGTCGGCAGGTGACATTTTGCTCTTTGTTTGCATATGGATTCACCCCCACCCTGTCCGTCCCCACCCCCTCATGCTGCTTCTCCGGCCCTTGCCATCACCACCAGGTGCTGTCCATGCTGTCTCGCCGCCCCGACCTGCTGCTTCAGTCGGCTGCCAGTCTGGCTGCGAAGATGGACCTGTTGCCTGAGCTGTTGGGAATGCCACCCAAACGGCTGCGGGAGGTGCTGCTGGCACGGCCTGACTTACTGAGAAGGTGGGGGCGGGTCGGGGGCGGGTCAGTGTCGTGTTCTGCGGGGGAGAGGGGGGCCGGGAGGGTGAGATAGTGGCTGGAGTTTTTGTTAATCCACAGCACTTCTCTTTCGTTGACACAACAATCCTCCTAGAACCCTAAACCTCCTCCTTCTCTTTCTCCTTCTCCACCAATTTGAATTAAGCCTCTTTGTTTCATCCGTCTTGAGCTTTGGAAACTGATTTAATGAAGTGCTTAAACGCATAAACGGAGCCTCTTGCAGTGTAGACGGGGTTTCCTCGGCCACCTTGGTTTCCTCGATTCCCTCGTTCTTCGTTATCAGGTCCCCTCGTTCTCTGCATGTCTATCACACAGGTCCCCCAGGCAGCTTTCGAAACGGTATCAGCTCCTCGGGGAGCTTTGCGGAGTGCCACCCGACTTCCTAGCAGAACTCATCGCACAGGAGCCGGGCGTGCTCGGTTTCGGAGCGGACACTCTGCGCGCCAAATTCCAGACGCTAGCGGGACAGTTTGGCAGGTTCCAGGATGACGTGGCGGATATGATTCTTGTGGATCCTGCCGTACTCATCAAAGCATCTCCGGCTGCAGCGGCGACGCCGGCGACGATGGAGAAGGTCGCTGCTGCTGCCGGCCCGGCCACTGCGGACGTCTTGCCAGTTTTGGACCAGTTGCTTCAGCTCTCGGAGGCCAGTGGCATTGTGATGGATGCCGTACTGCGGCTTGTCGTACAGGACGAGCGAGTGTGTAGCTACAGCAAGGAGGCAGTGTTGGCACAGCTGGCGGCGCTGGCGGCGGTGCTGGGGCTCCAGGGCACGGAGGAGGTTCGCTCCAGGGTTGGAGAGCATCCTGAGCTGCTACTGCTGCACGAGGAGCAGCTGAAGGGGCGTGCGGAGGCGCTGGCACGGCTGCTACAGCCGCTGCCTGGCACTACCGCCAGCGGTGACGTCAAGTTGCAGGGAACAGACCCGGCGGCGGCAGTGACGCAGCTCCTACAGCGGCATTCAGAGCTGCTGCTGCAAGTGGGTTTGAGGCAGTGGGGGGGGAGGAGGGGATGTGATGTGAGACAGGGACATGGACATGGCAAATCCGTTGCGTTGAAGCTGCGAGCTGTTGCGATATCGAGATTCTGGAATAGGGTGTTTCATCGTTGGTTGTCGTTGCGGACTGTATTGTTGTTGCGGACTGTTGTAGTCCTGTGGTGAACGCGTTGGACGTTTGTGAATCGATATGCGCCCGCTCCTCTCACTCTGGGTGTTGTTGGTATAATGGAGTAAATTTACGTGCCTGCTGCCTTCCCTCTTCCTCACCACCGCGTCAGCTTTCACCAGGTCCGCCTTTCCTCCAGTACCAAGTCACCCAACCCCACTTCATGCATAGATTTGTCTCCAACTGCTGGCCCTCCCCCCGTGTATTTTTTCCAAAGCTCAGCCCCTGTTTCTACTGCTTCTGGCCCACATCACAGCACATCGCAGCACAGCTGTGCTAGCTCAGGTGAAGTCCAATTTCATGATCCCATTTCCATTTCCCCCCGAATCCCCATCCTCTGGCCGCTCGGGATTACCAGGACCCTGCCGATGTGTATTTACGACTGCGTAAATTGAGCCACTTTCTGCTGGGTACGGCACTGGCGCCGATGCCATCAGAGGTGCCGGCAGAGACAGGCGGCTCTGTTGCAGCGGAGCGCTCAACTCCGTCGATGGCGGCGGCGGCGGCGCCGCCGCGGCTGGCGCCGCAGTTGTTGGCGCTCGTCACTGCGCAGCCGTCGCTGCTGACTGCGCCGCCGGAGGAGACGGCGGATAAGCTGTTGGTGATGCAGAGTTTGTTTGAAATCCCTCGGGCGCTGGTTCTGGAGCTAATTTGGCGGGAACCTGGTGAGCTGTTTGATTGCGGACATTAGGGGTATATATATCCTGTGTTTATTGGCGCAGCAGACTGCTCATACTAGGATATATGAGGATTTAGGTAAAATGTGGTAAGAATGTGTGCTTCGGAGCTGACCGCCGGACCGCAGCGCAGATTTTAAAGCCGTGGACTCGGCGGCGCCTCGCCATGCTTAAAGCGGTCTCATCTCCATGTCTCACCATCTCTACCCGCCATCCACAGCCCTGAGTTGTCCTCCTCCTTACTCTAAGCCCTCCAGCTCCCTCGTCGTCGTCGTCTTGCCGTATTAAAGGAAATTTCCTTTCCTTTCCTGCCCGTATTTTTCCATTCCAATAATTTCCCTGTTTCCCCTCACCGCCGCGGCCGGGTGTCCTTCTCCCCCCGTCCTATTGATGTTCCCGGTCGGTCCACCAGCACTGCTGGCCGTGTCGGCGGATGATCTGGAACGCAAGTTCCGTGCTCTAGCCGCTTCCTTTGGGGCCTTCAGCTCGGATGCCATCGATGTAGTCTTCGCGGACCCCTCCCTTATCCTTCGAGCGGATACAGACGACCCCGAGTCGCTACTGCCGCCGTCGCCGCTACTGCTGCGAAGGTCGTCAGCAAGGCAAGGTACGAAGCAACAGCTGCAACAGCAACAGCAGGTGGAGCTGCCGTCTGGAGGGGATGTGCGCAAGACTGGCGGTGACGGGCCCGGTGGCGGCGACGGCACCAGAGCCACCGGCTGGTGGGGGTCTCGGAGCGGTGGAGGCAGGTTGCCCGCGGCGGCGGCGGCGGCGGCGGCGGCGGAGGTAGATGCGGCGGCACGTTCCGGTGAGCGGCGGCGGCGCTGGCAGCAGCAACAGCAGCAGCGCGGCGAGGTGGACCAGGCAACGGCGGCAGATGATTTGAGCAGTGGTGTACGGCAGGAGAGGAGCGATGTTTCGGAGGCGAAGGCGGCGGAACGTGTGTTACAGCCACAGCAGCTGCAAGACCTGGCAGGAGAGTTTTTTTTCGCAGGTGGCGGGCTTTCGTTGGGGGGTAGAGGCGGCGGGGGTAGTAAGGGTAGCGGTGGCAGTGGCGGTGGTTATAGGGGCAGTAGTGAGGATATGGGGTTGTTGGGGAGTATGAGTGCTGCGGATTTTGACAAGGTCGGGTCGGAAGATTTGCCGCCGCCGCCGCCCGCACCGTCGTCGAGGCGGCGCCGCCGGCTCCAGCAACAGCAACAGCCAGAGCAGCAGACGTGACGGCAGCTTGGAGATGTGGCCGCTGTTTCAGGCGAATAGCAGCAATAACAGCGGTTGCCACTGCTGCAGTATGCGTGGTAATTGTGTTTTCGCTTGTTGGGGGGCGATTTGCTGTATCGGACGCTAACGTAGTTGTTGCTGTGAGTGCGTTTGGAGATGATGATGATGATGATGGTGAGGAGGAGTGGCAGTGGTGTTTGCAGATGGAATGTTTCTCTTGCATCATATCACATCACTCATCACATTACATCACAACGCAAAGCGAGTGATACGGAAATGCATTTCAAGTGCATAGTGCGAGGTGAGTTGGTGGTGATTTATGACGATGATGGTCATGGCATTCGACGGGTTAGCTAGGTGGTCGATGAAGTTCGAGGTCCAACGAATTTCACAAAATGCAGGCCAGGTCCACTGTATGTATGTCCTCTCTGAATTGGAGGAGTATGGCACATGTATATTCCTGTTTGGGGTCTTACCACCGGTAAACCTCATAAGAGTGGCCCGAAGTGGCTGAGAAAGCTGTCCATGGAGCCGTTCTTACCTCGAAGGTTTGCGAGGTTATATCCTCATGGTTTGTAGGCGCTGACTACTGCTGCTGCTGCTGCTGGAGGCTCCGCGGCATCAGTCCTTAACAGTTGCTGCTTTCTGTCTCCGCCGCAGGCATGTGTTGGCTTAAGCATAGCTGCCTAACGAATTCGCTTGCTTATGATGGCTCGATTTCATATCCACTCACGCACGGTTGCAGATGGCATGTTTATAGAAGGCAGTGCGGAGTTTGAAGCTAACACGTGCGGCTCGACGAACTGTAATATGTCATGGTCACGCTTGGAATTCACACCTGGCATGAACGGATAAAATTACACGACGCGACATCACACAGCATGAATACGCAAGAACGCTGGACCCGCTGACAGGCATTTCAGGATGTACGGCTGTTTAGCCGGCGGTTAAGCTGGTTAGGGAAAAAACTTCCTGTCCTGGTCGACTTTGCGTGCCAGTATGTGGCTGCTTGCGGTAGTATAAGTGGATTTTGTTCCTTAGCCACCTGGATAAGCGACAGCCGGTTAAGGTCTTATTTCGTGAGTCAGATTGCAGATCTCCAATCAGCATGAGGCCTAGCCAGGTTATCATACCAATAACAGCAGCTGCTGCATCAGCTGTTGTAGGCTTTACATTCGGAAGGTAAGGGGTCCGGAGCCAAAAATTGCATGGCGGTAATCCCAGCGTTTTCCTGCGTCCTGGGTCCAGATATGCGATGCGCGAGTGTATCGGCAACTGAATTGCGGCATGGTCTTTAGGACAACCTGGAGTGGGCACGTAGCGTGCTGCGTTCGACACTTGACTCGAGACAAGTGCGGTTAACCTCACTTTGCAGGCGTGTGGGCGGCGTCAACCTAAAGGGACAACTCAATGGAAACGACAAGCTACTGTCTCGCCAGGTCGGTCGCCAGACCCTGCCTCGCTCCACATCTTCGGACGCCCGCCGAAGAAGACTAGCAGGACATCCCCTTGGCTGACTCCAGCAGAGCCAACTCCTCCCTACAGGGCCTTTCCTGTCACGTCAACCCAATACGCGCACTTCCTGTGCATCCCCCTTACTCCGACAATGCTTTGGCGACTTGACTCCTCGCTTGCGCTCCCCCGACTGAAACCCACAACCCCTTTTTCTCTTCCAATTGTGACCTTCAATCCGTAAAAAACCCAAATCCCTCACTCCACAGGAGCGCTGCTTCGCCACTGCGCTCATCCAGATGGGGTACGGCCACCTGTTCCGTCACTGGCCGCCACCCGGTGCGGCTTGGGGGGATGAGCTTGGGGGGGGGGGAAGAGGTGTAGGGTGTGTGTAAGGGGGGAGCCGGGGTCAGCGCTCTGCAAAAGGGGGTCCCTCCTTTAGTATACCGACCTTGGGTGGGGGGGGGAAGAGCACACGGTGAAGCGGGTGAAGGTGGCCCAGCAAGAGGCGAGGGGGGTCAGTTGCATGTTATGTGGAGAGGGGTAAGGTTGGGTTGTTTCATGTGGCTATGGTGTTCCGGGGCTCCAAGGGAGCGGGCAAGCAAGGCCCAAGAGTAAATGAAGGCCTGGGCCGAAAAGGTGTGGAAGGCCTGCGGAAGCGCTTCCGCGGGACTGATCGTTATATTTGGATCCAGATCCAGATCCAGGAAGTTAGGCACAAGTATTTAGGTTGTGATTGTGGTTACGATTTGTCATCCTTCAGTAATGTGGGAACCTTGTGTGTGCTTGTGTGTTTTACATGAACGTGTGTGTGCATATGTATGTATGTGTATGTGTGTCTGAAGTCGTAATCATGCGCACAAATGGACCTGACAAATGAATGGGGGCCCCCCGTGTACGGGACTTGTAACATCGCGACCCGCCGACCATTCACATTCACGGGGCCATGGGGTTCGTTGGACCCACCATCTCCAAATTTATGATGCATGCGCCGCTTCATTGAGGTCCCGCCCACACGCCTTCCCGCGGCCTAGGTGTACGGGATGGGGAGAAAAGGCGGCTGTTGGCGGCGGCGGCTCAGCGGCTGGAAGGCGTGACGGCCGCCGTGGAGGCAGAGCGCCTAGGTGTGTGTGCGTGTACGCGCGCGCGTGTGTGTGTGTATGTGTGTGGTCGACTAAGGGAGGGTCCCGCACTGATCTCGTTTTGGGCGAGTGTTGGCCGCTGCTGCCCAAGCCTTACCCCTTGATCCTCATCCGTTGCGTCCCTTGTCCACACAGTGTTTTTCCTAGTCCCCCGGGAACTCCATATCTTTCCAGGGGGGGTTGTCCTCCCGTGTGTATGTCCGGGGCCGCTGCTGACGTTGCAAGAGCACCCCGGACGCCGTGCTTCACCCTTTCCTCCCTGCCCCTACCACTGCTGTATTGCCCTTTTTCTATTTTTCATGGAATTGCCCTTCAAGCCAAAACCGTGTCCTTCATCTTCCCCCCTTTGTTTCCTGTGCCTGATTACCCCCTCCTCGCAGCCGCCCTAGCGCCTCCCACTGCCCCCCAGCGACCCAAGCTGCTCCAGACCCACGGTGACGACCGGGAGGACAAGTACTATTGGTGAGTCGGTCGGGTGGGAGAGGAGAACGTGTGTGTATGTGTTTGTGTTGTACGGCAGTGTGAATCAGATTGGGTCGGTAGGATGGTGCGGTGATGTGATGTGATGTGATGTGATGTGATGTGGATACGAATGGGATTCGAATGGGGCTTTGCGAGGTGAGTTGGAGTGGAGTGGAGTGGGTGCGTCAGTGGGCTGGGCGGTGTGTCTGTTAAATAGACGGGTAACCGGAGTCGTACATAGCACGTGGATTCCCTGCTGTCGTGTTCCTTGCCTTGTACAACAGGCTGCGAGACGATGCGCGTAAGGATACTGCCGTACTGTCGTACCTCAAAGCCGAGAATGAGTACACGAAAGGTGTCATGGCAGACACGGAGAAGCTGCAGGTAAGAGGGGTTTGTCACTGTACGGCAGGGATGTCCGTACACTGGGTTTGGGAGCGGGAGGGCGAAATCCCCGACCGTACACCAAAGGGGGGAAGTAGAGGGGTTGAACCAGGGCACTGTAGCGAGACTAGGAAGCCCAAGTGTTCTGCCGGCATGAGGTCGCTGAGCTGGATTCTCAGGTTTCGAGCTCAAATTCGGCCACTCTGATCTTAGGTGACCTCTCGAAGATGGCAGAATAGGCAGTAATGGCATTAGTGGGGTGGGGATGGTATGCGCTGCAGCTGGCGTTGCTTTTATGGGGAATGTACGCCAGGGACTTGCTTCTCACGTACGATTTCCCGCACCCGTCGTGCAAACAGTTGTACGTCTTGTCTATTGCTGCTTCACAATCATGATGACTTTTTTGTATGTCAATGAACCAAACGGCTGACAGGAGGCGCTGTACAAGGAGATGCGGGCTCGGATTAAAGAGGACGACCGGCAGGTGCCGAGCAGGTGAGGTTTAGATCTTCCGTACATGTGATGTCGTACGGATGTACATTAAAAAGAAGATGAGGATGCAGCGTCGTTATGAAAGGTGGGCCGGTGTGCGTCCCTGGCCGTGTTCCCTGAGCCGTACCGGCTGCCGTTGGTAATCGGTTGCATTCCTAACCAACTAAACAACCAACCAGGACGATGTATTGGGGACGTGCGGAGCTAGCCCCACCTCGAGAGCAACACCCTCCACCTCAGCACCGCGGTAGTGGTGTATTAACACTTGTGTTGATGTTGATCTGTCATATGTGCTGCTGTGACTTAGCTGTACACACGCATGCAATGGCTCACTGCTTCTCGGTTTTATCTATCTACTGTTTTGCAAAATCGGCAAACGTCCCCGTGTTGCCGTACTGCGTCCGTACATTTCAGGCACCACGGCTACTTTTATTACACTCGACAGGAGACGGGTCAGCAGTACGGCATTAACTGCCGAAGACGTGTGCCGGCTGCCATGGTGTCGTGTGGGCCCTCGGAGACCGATGACGTGGATGAGAGCGAGCCGGAGCAGGTGCAGGCTATGAAGTTCCCAAGGAGTTGTATGTCTAGGGGGGTGTCCTAAGGGGATTGTTTTAGGGGGGTGTTCTAAGGGGGGTTGTGCGGTTTTGATCCCAAGTTGATCATGTTTTAGGTGCCAATCTTCTTTCGAGGCATCGATGGGGCGGAACCCGTAGGCGGCTTTCTGTGCCTTTCCAAGGGGGTAGCCTGAATAGGACACGGACACGAGTGGACGGGTGGGCGGTGGGTATTGGGTGGGGTGGTGGGTGGGCTTCCTCCCCCCCATCAGTGGGGGCTAACCAACAACACACACGAGGCCAGATTTCCTCGCGTTGATCTGTCCTGCCTAGGAACCGAGCCCCCCTGGAGCCCCCTCGCTCGGCCCTTTAAACCCACCCTCTACACACGAACACACAATCACACGGCCGTCCTCACAACTCCCCTCCTCTTATATCTCGTGGTTCGTCTTTCCCCTCCTCTTATCATGGCATCCCCATGAATTCAACTGAACCTACAAGCCCATTGAAGAAGAAAATACTAAAACGTTTTTTTATTTGAAACTCCGCGGAAGGTTCTACTGGATCAGAATCAGCGCAAGTCCCAACTTGGTGTGGAGTATTACTCTGTGGGCGGCGCTGATGTGTCCCCCGATCAGCGGTTGTATGCCTGGGCGGAGGATACCGTGGGAGGGGAGAAATACACACTGCGTGTCAAGGTGAGGGCCCCGGCTGGTGGGGGGAAGGGTGGGGGAATGGTAGGAATTGGGGAGGAACCATGCCATATGATGACGTTAATGCATGCCGGTATGACGGTTGGGCGAGAATGTGGAGCAAGAATGTCAACGTGGCGTATGTGCGGGGTGTGTGTGGGATGGGGGGGAAAGCGGGGCCCCCCTATGTTCCGACCCCCCGCGCACCCACCCTGCACGCGAAACACCACCTTTCACAACACGCGTTCCCCCAGACGCACGACACTTCTTTTTCCTTGACCGCCTCTTCCAAGTTTACCTCGTATGTCGTGACGTATTTCCTATGTAGGAGCTGTCCACAGGTGCAGAGCTAACCAAGCCCATTCCCGGCATGAGCGGCGACTTCGAGTGGGCCGCCGACAGTGCCACCCTCTTTTACGTCGTCAAGGACCATCTTGATAGGCCGTACAAGGTACGACAGTACGACGGCGGTGCTGTACATGCAGTGAAATGCCGGACATGACTTTCCTCAACGCTAGTTTTGGGTTCTCATGTCAACCTTTGGTGGAGGCGGCAGCGGAGCGCGCGGTGTGATCGACATCTAGGCACATCTTTTCTTACTGTTGCAGCCACCGCTGTCACCGCCGCTGTAGCTCCACGCGTAACGCACGACGCTTGTTGTGGGCTTAGGGTTTCGCGGGCTGTTGTCGAGGCCGAGCGGCGTAAGAAGAAACGCGTGTTTTAATGCGTTACGGGTGACTACGGGGTTCAGTCTGGTGAATCAATGCGTTTTGGGTATTGGAAACTCGATAATTTAATGAGTCGGAATCAATAATATTGTCGCTCCCGCGCTTCCTGCGAAGGGCAGGTCGCGCTCAATTCGAGGGCGGGTTAGGGGGTGTTGGTGGAGAGTACTTGCAAGCGGCGATGCGTGAGGCCCAGCTGGAGAGCCCAGAGAGCCCAGCGGCAGCAGCAGCAGCAGCAACCTGAGCGGGTGGTACTGCCGCTGTTGCCTAGTTACGCGGGTTTTTATTTGCCGTGTTTCCTTGTGTCGTTTTCAGGTGCTACGACACCGGATTGGCGCAGCAGCAGGAGAGGTGGGCGAGTGGGGTCGGTCAATACGGGGGGTGAGGGGGTTCCCAGGTCTCTGTACAGCGACATGATGCGACACTTGTTGGACGTCCCAAATGGTGGGGTGTTGCAGGGGGAGCTTGTGTTGGCGCTGGCTACGTATTGGTCCCAACCCCTCTTTTCCGTGCTGATAGACATCCATACATACATACATACATACATACATACATACATACATACATACATACATACATACATACATACATACATACATACATACACACGCAAGTGCACAGGCACATACATGCAGCTCAGTTCTCCTACACATGTGTAAAAGAGAGAGAGTGTGTGTGTGTGAGCAACTGTCGTGTGTGTTTGCATTGTAGCATGTAATCCTTTCTTTCCCCCCTCCCCGCCTCACCCCCCTTCCCCCTATCCCCTGTCAGGATGTGGTGGTGTACGAGGAGACGGACGAGGCCTTCTACGTGCACGTGTACAAGGGCCGCTCGGAGCGAGTCATCTACATCTCCTCAAGTAGGGGAAATGTGATTGGGGGCGTGTGTATGTATGTGTGTATGTATGTATATGTTTGATGGGCCACCCTGTTGAAGCTCTTGAGAGGTTGGTGCTGGAAGGTGTGGAGTGTGGTAGTGGGGCGGAGTTGGGGGAAGTCACGAGAAAACACATTATTACCGACACGCACACTCACCCGTACATGAACTATTACACATACATACGTACGTACCTGCGCACATACGTGCATACATATGCATAAATATGGACGCACACAGGCATACTTTTCGCTTCTGCCATTATCGCATCCCGCTTGTTGTCTCCTCGCGGAAAACACACACACACACACACACACACACACGCACACACGCACACACACACGCACACATACACACACACACACACACACACGCACACACGCACACACACACGCACACATACACACACACACAGACACGTCGCTGGACTACGGAGCCTGCATTGGTTACGTTATTCGAATACGCATTTGGGTCTTTTCCCGTGTCGCGGCTCAGATCTTACACACAAACCTTGGCCGGGGCCTTGGTAACCACTGCGCTCTCTTTCCTCCTGACAAAAGGGGGAAACGCGGGGGGAGGGCACGCCCTCGGTCGAGCAGGCGGGGAAAGTGGCCCCTCTCGCGCATCTCTCCCGTCCGCGGGAGATAAAAGAGCTTAGGCGGTCTTTCCGTTGGGGCTGGGCAGCAGTCCCTGGCCGGTGTCAGGCCCGGTCAGATAGATATTTGTAACGTGTACACATACACGCACACACACGCGAGCGTGCGCGTTATCGCTCGGCCCCGCCCTCCCCCCCCCTCCCACTCTTCCTTCTCTTCCTACCAACTCCCTCTCCTCCCTTGGGCTTTTCTTTTTCGTTTGCGTTCTTTCCAACCCACTTCTCCATTTCTACCTTCTTTGCATTCTGCCGGCGTACACGCCGTCCAATGCGTCATCCCGTCCAATGCGTCATCCCGTCCAATGCGTCATTAGGTCATCTCGTACGACACCTTCTGTGTCGTCCTGCGCCGCCTTTGCTATTGTTTTTTAGTTCCTGCGTTTTCTTCCGTTTTCATATAGGTTCTTTAGGGCGTTCTCGTTTCCAGCTTCCCCGGTCAGCAAGTTTAATACTCCTTTTCAGCAGCATTTGCATGCGTTTTTGTATTTTTCTTTCGCTGCTCACAACTCTCCCACCTCTCTGCCTTGCATGTGCCTTTGCCCGCTGCTCCTGCTGCCTGGCCAGGTGAGTCCAAAGGGTGGTTCGAGCTTCTTTGGTTTTTCGCGTTGGCGTCGGTCGGCTAGCCGGAATAGAATAGTCGGGTCGGTCGGGTCGGTCGCGCGTTTTAGTTTTTGGGGGGTTGGGAGGAGCACTTGCATACCGACAGCCTTTCAGCATCAGCAAATCAGCTATTTCTCCAGGCCAGCAACTTTATACCACCTTTACGACAGCACTATTTTACTACGCTTCCGCCGCTTTCACTACTACTTCTTTACGGATTGGCAATACTATTCCGCTTTTTTAGTTCTGGCGGTTTAGGTACGTAGTTTTCCCGACATCTTCTCCACTTCGTCATCCCGAGGTCACGGTCGCCACGGACGCCTTTCGGTCAGTTCTACGTTTGTTACTCTCTTGCCCTGGCAGCAGCTTCAATCGTGTGTGGTTCGTCTTTCCCCCCCCTCCCACCCCGACAACCCCGACAACCCCCCACAGGCTCCGCGGTGACCAGTGAGACCCGCTACATCCTGGCCGACCAGCCGGACAGCGACTTCCGCGTTGTGTTGCCCCGGGTGCAGGTACGGCTTGGGGGGCAAGGGGGAGGGGAAGAGACAGGGGGGCCAGGTGCATGTGTTTTAATGATATGAGCCACGAGACACACCAAACCACTAGTTCACCCATCCTGCAATTTCCATGGGCATCTTTTCTTTTGTCGCCTGTCCAGCCAACTGTTTGCCCTCATCCCCGCCCGTCTACCTCTGCCGTACAAAACTGCCGTACAGGATACGGAGTACAGCGTTACGGATCGTGGTGATTGGCTTTACATGACGGTTCGTGACAAGTCCCGACCAAACAGCGAGCTGTTGGTGGCTCCGTTGCATAACCCGGCAGCAGGAGAGGTGGGTAGGGATGAGGGGGTGAACAGTTGTGTATTCGTTTACGTGTATGTGTGTTGATGTATGTATGTCATCCACGGGACTGGTCTCCACTTCGCTAATTACTTCATCTCCACATCTTCTTCCTTCCACTCCCAAAACGTACATGCATGCATGCATCCATCCACCCATCTATCCATGCATGCATCGCGGCCCACAGTGTAACCTCAGTCAGTCAGCCATACATACATACGTACGTACATGCACTAGATTAGGCACTACTGGTAAGGCACGACCATTGCCCCTGGGAATCCCCGTGATCGAGACCTGTCAGGGTCGATTATCCTTCTGATGGTGGAAGGTAAAGTGCCCTAGTTGATGGACGGTGGTGACCTGGGATAAAGTTTACCTGCGAGCCGACCAGGAATGGAGTGTTGCTGTCGACCGGCAGATTCCGTTGGATGCTGGTGGTGGGTGCGGAACCTGAGCGATCCACTGAGAAGTTGACTAGGGTGACTGGATGAGGGTGCCCCGAAATACCGGGGAAGGGTACAGGGTTTCGCCGGGTAGCTGCCACGGGTGAAGATATACCCCTCTGTTCCACACATCATCATACACAGACGCGTACACACACACGCAGGTCCTCATCCCCCATAGTCGGGATGTGAAGCTGGATGGGGTGTCAATGGGGGAGCGCTACGTGGTGGTTTCGGAGCGGAGCGGTGGCCTGCAGCGCGCGCGTGTGTACGAGCTGCCGGAGAAGCTGGGGCGGCCCGTGGGTCATTTGGTTGGCGGGGAGGAGATCAAGTTTGAGGAGCCCGCATACAGCTTGGGCGCTTGTAAGTTTAGGGAGGAAATCGAGCAGGAGGGGGGTTGCAGGGGGCGGCGGGCGGGGAAAAAATGGAGGGGAGAGGAGCGACCGAAGCGAAACGAAAACATCGCGTAAAACGCCTGCCTAGATGCGATCCGGATTTTGAGTTTTAAAACTGAATCTCTGGCAGCGGGATCTACCCCTGTACGACAGCCTTTCATTTGGTTTCTTGATGCAGTCAGCTAGGACGGCGGAGGGACCCTAGGCCGCGGTACGAGAACTGCCGTACAGTGGACAGCGTTGTGATCAAACCCAAACTCAAACAAATATGAACTCCCTCTCCCATTATTCATATCCTCCCATCCAATCGTTCTATCCTCCCCACCGTCCCTCTCTCTCTCTCTCCTCCACCTACCCTCTGAAGCCATTTTCACATGTCAAAACACGCCCCACCCACGTCACCGCTACCTCCCAGACCTGACCGGCGATTTCAACTCGCCAATTGTACGGATGTCGTACACAAGTCTTACGACGCCTTCCACCATCATTGACATGCACGTTGGCACAGGTGACTAAACACCCCGACCTGAGGGGAGAGCGGGTGTGGGAGTGGGAACGGGAGTGTAGGCTATAGTGGGTGGGGTATGGATGTGTGCGCAAGGTGTGGTCAGCAGAGAACCTCCTCCGCTTTCATTTCATTCCCCCCTTGCCCTCTTTTCCTTGGTTGATATGGAGCCTGCTGGGCGCGTTGCGTTGCGTTGGGTTGCGTTGGGTTGGGCGGCGTGCGAGTAAGGGATTAAGGGGAATACCTGGATTCTCCTTCCGCGAATACGTACGAATACGTACAGGGGGAAGAGAAGGGAGTGGGCGATGTGATGCAACAACATAACACCCACCTGCTGCCGCTGCTGCTGCTGGTGGTGTTACCTTTTGACGGTCGATCCCAAAGGCGGGATGAGGGTCGACCCCGCGTTTCCCTAAAACCCTAAATCGATCTGGTCTGAACGAACTTCGCAGACGTGCCCGGAGTTGGACACACATATGAAGCATGCATGCATGCAGTGTATACATATATGCCGCCACGGGAGGTCGTCACTGTAGTAGAAGTGAATAACCTCTCCCCGCCGGCTTTGCCCCTGTTGACCTTGCAAGGCAAGCGCTGCGTGAAGAAGGTGGCACCGGTACTGGGCGGCTTCGACCAGTCGCGTTACGTGACGGAGAGGCTGTGGGCCACAGCCCCCGACGGTGTAAAGGTGTGTGTGTGTGTGATATGGCTAAAAAAGTGGTGTTCTCTGTTGTTACCATGTCACTAGTGTGTTTAGTTAGGCCAACGAGACCATCCACCCGTCTTTGTCGTAGTTGAAGCTAGACGCCATGAGTGTCGTCGTTTTGTTTGCGGTCTAGAACCCTCCCGTTCGAACCCTCTCGCCCCTTTTGGGTGATTGCCATATAGCTGAAGTACGACGCAGGAAAGCGTCGATAGGAGGAGGTTCCTTGGCCCCTTCCTTGGCGCCCGTTCGCGTGGGACCATTTTCCAACCCCCCGATGATCCCGACCCCGACCCCGACCTCGACCGTGCTGTCAGCTCAACCATATTCGCACCGATGCGTGTGCATGTTTTCACTAATGGTGCCCTGACGTCGGCATTACCCTATTTCCGTCTCCTATACTCTACTTTTTTTGTTCCCATTTTAATATTAATAAATATTATTAATAGTAATATAATTTAACATGTAAATTTTAATGGTTGTCGTAATATTTTACTTATTGCGTATTCAATATAAGGATAAATAAAATAGTACTGGTTTCCCGCCTGGTGGCCTTTGCACCTCTCGCCGCCATGACACCATCATTCCCCTAAATCTCTATCCTGTGTGTCTTCCTCCTTACCCCCCCTTCCGACGATCATTCCAACCTCAGGTGCCCATCAGTTTGGTGTATCGCACAGGTCTGGTTAAGCTGGATGGAAGTGATCCCCTTTTGTTGAACGGGTAGGTACGGTGCAGTACATTGTTGTACAGTTCGGGGGTCACCCAACCTGTATGTTATACCTTCACGCACAAACACGCATGCGGCTGACACTTATGTGAAGTGCATGTCGTGCCTTCCATGCATGGATGTGAGGCCGCTGCATTCCGCAGTCTGCGTCTGTTAGTACAATTTTTGGGAAATCTGGGAGAAATGCTCCGCCATTGGTTACTGCCTGTTTGCCGTACGTTGCCGTGCGTGTAATATGTGGTGTTACTGTCCCTGTTCTGTATGAAGGTATGGATCGTACGAGATTTCCAATGACCCGTACTTCTCTAGCTCCCGGCTTTCGTTGCTGGACCGGGGATTCATTTTCGCCATCGCCCACATCCGCGGTGGGGGAGAGATGGGCCGGTGAGAGGCGTGCTGTGTGTTTTGCGTGTCCCTGCATGTGCACATGCGATGTCAAGGGAAGGTGTCAACTGCTATCTGCATGTTAGATTTATGTGGGTTTAAATGGATGGATGCCTGTAATAAGCTGGATGCGTGTGAGCCACCCAACTAACACCAAAGAGTAACCAGCTCAGAACTCAAAAGGCCCGAAATGGGCCGAATATCAACATGATAGAGTTTTTTATTCGGGACACGTGCATGTTTGTGGTTTCCATGGTTTTCTCCCTCCTCTCCGGTTCCTCTCATGATGCACCCACCATCACTGCGGCCATATGCTATGACCATCATCGCTATCCCCCAAATTTCATCTCAGCTATTGGTACGAGGACGGCAAGCTGCAGAAGAAGACCAACACCTTCACGGACTTCATTACAGCAGCGGAACATCTGGTTTTGGAGCGGCGGCTGGTGGCCCCTTCCCGGCTGTGCATCGAGGGTCGCTCCGCAGGCGGCATGTTGATGGGGGCGGTGCTGAACATGCGACCTGACCTCTTCCATGCAGCCATAATCGGTGCGACGTATACATACAGACACACATACAATATGCCAATTAGGATAACCATCCAATTGCTTCGCTTTTAATATTTTAATATATAAACGACGCTTCACATTCTCTACTATTCTCTATTATTCTGTAGCCCAACCGCTGTCGGCATCCTTCTTTTCTGCGTCTTCGCAACCCAATTCACATCGCCGTCTGCATCCCCAGATCTGGGTCGGGGTGTTCCTCCTGCCTAGTAACCCCTGTTTTCCCCTCTCTATATTATTCCTGGCCCCCCGGCCTCCCTTATCCTTCCAGGTGTTGGTTTTGTGGACTGCCTAACCACCATGCTGGATGAGACTATCCCCCTGACCATTATCGAGCGTGAGGAGTGGGGAGATCCAGCGGCAGGTGGGTATGTGGGTTTTTGGTGTGTGCCTGTGTGCCTGTGTGTGTATCTGTTGTCATATCGATCCGGACCTGACGCTGGACAGGGGCACCTAACCGTATACCCCAACGGGAACGATCGCCGAAGTACTCCATTCTTGGCGGGGCGTTTGATCGGTCAGAATCCTAACCGTTCTCCCTTAGCAACGCAAGGCGCCATCACCTGTTCGAATCCTCTAGCCAGCTACATACACCAGCTAGGTGCCGATCAACCTCTGTTCCACGGAGCGCATTCTCTACAGCTGCGCGATCTCCCAATGCACTTGTACCGGTGCCAATCAATCGCCACCCTGTCCTTGTGAATTCTGCCGGCGCCCGTGGGCCCCCGTGGGTCAAGCAGCATTCGTCACCCCGCTCTATATCACCCGGGGAAGAGCGCTGGGACCCGGACTCAAAGTCGAACATCAATTAAAAAGCCTAGGTACTCACTCTGAGATTTAAACTCCATACTTGCAATTATTTAGTCCCGTGCTCTACCAACTTGAGCTTCGCCGATATGTAAGTTTATGTATATGTGCAGGTTTGCAGCCTTGCTTACCCCTATTTTATATTCATTCAGTGATTCCGTTAGTTTCTTTGCTCTATCTTGGCATGAGCCTCTACCTTTATCCATGAAGGCCTTCAGGCACCCAATGTGTCTTTGATGTTTTTCGTCAGTTCCCTCCTTTACTTTTACATCACATGCATACTGCCGTACGGCCCTCAACATGCATGCAGACCCTGCTGTGTATGCCTACATGAAGACGTACTCCCCGGTAGACAATGTGAAGAAGCAGGCCTACCCGCACATCCTGGCTGTGGCTGGGCTTCATGACCCACGGGTCGGTTTTGGAAGGCGGTCGACGCATGCAGGCAGCAGTGAAGGAGTGTTGCAACGCACTTAGCAGTTCCCTCCAACATACACCCCTTGCTTCGTGCACGTGCACCAGTCTATGATGTCCTCACGTATTTACCCACCTATATATCTGTCACCTGGAATCCTGCCTGTTATCATGGCCCTCAACCATTCTGCACGGTGCACATCCTAACCCCAGTTACAATGAGTGAACATGCATATAGCGGCCAGTGCCTGCTGGTGTAATACTACTGGACTACTGGGAATGGATAGAGGGGCGCTTATCACCTTGCGGGCCCGTTTTGCCGATTCGTCATTCCTCTGCTGCCTTCATTCCTCATACACATGCAGCCCGTCCACCGCCACCTCTTAGCTCTTGCCCTTCCGGATACATGGGGCCCCCGGCTTTGACGGACCCTCCGCACTGTAGCTGTAATGAATGTTTGGATGTATGTTTGTTTGATGTAGATCACACTGTGGGCCGTGATGGCTGAAGCCGAAACAGTGCAAGGGTCGGGCTTGTGCACAGCACAAGTCGGTTAGTCTGTATGTATAGGTCGTATCGGTTAGTGTGTATGTATGTTTGTATGTATAGGTAGGCTACTGGGAGCCTGCCAAGTTTGTGGCCAAGCTACGGGAGCACAAGACGGACTCCAATTTGCTACTGCTCAAGACGGAGATGGGTGCAGGGCACTTTAGCGTGACAGGGCGCTTCGAGAAGCTGAAGGAGGTACGCGTGTGTGTATTCGCCACATCACATCATCGCAGCACTGCTCCATGGCCTGATGACCGTGTTCCAGGCATCCGAGCCAGTTTGTGCGTCTATCATTTTCTGCCTATCGGTCCTTCCATGAACAGAATCTTTGCAGTCTACCTTGATCGCATTCATGATAACCAATCAAACGAGTCATGAACGTGATCAAGGTTTCGATCCTTACCATACACAATACAGAAATGTAGTAGCTGGTCACCGATGCAGGCAGCAGATAGATGTCCTGATATGCTAAAACATGAGTGATGGTGTGCGTGTGTGTATGTATGTATGTGTGTATGTATGTATGTTGTGTAGCATTTACTGCACCAGTGTACATTTGTGGGTGTATCTGAAAGCCATGTTCACCATTTTGTTTGTGACCATCCTTTCTAGTGCTCTACCTAAGCACAGGTTTTACTTGTTACTCATGTTTTGGCCTCAACTTGTCTTCCTTATCCCTTACCTCGAAACAGGTTGCCTTCGAGTACGCCTTCCTGCTCAAGACGCTTGGCCTGCTGGATGTACCACTGGCGGGATCATCAGAGCCAGGGGCAGTGGCGTCACCAGCTGGCGGTGATAAGCTGGAGTAATGTGGAGGGTGCCAAAGAGCAGGTGGTTAGGTGGTTAGGAGATGTACAGTCAGCTAGCAGTCTAAATAGATAGCTTGGGTCCCGAATAGGAAAGCACAAAATAAAAGGAGGGCATGAATCCTGCCTGCTCTACATTACACGAGTGAGGAGCAACAATATTGCAGTACTCTGGTTGCAAAATCACTAGTGATGCACGCAGGTCGGTAGGAGCGGTGCAGGTGGTACTGATACTAAGAGTGGAATGCATGTGAGCGAGCGACTTGCCAATGGACAAAATATAATGATTGTCAGGCGGCGTTGCCTTGCTTTTCATGGGTTTAGTTAAACCATCCTTCGTTAACATGATGTTCATATACAGCCTCTCCCGTGGGCTTGTTGATGTTAGTATTATGACAGGGTGTGAGGCTTCTGGGCCAATTGAAGACATTTGGATGTCATATCTAGGATTGTACAACATACAGCGCCATCCACCATTCATCTCAGCAGCTAGCCACTCCACTCCACTCCACTCCAACTCACCTCGCAAAGCCCCATTCAAATCCCATTCGTATCCACATCATGACACATCACATCACATCACCGCACCACCCTACCGACCCAATCTGAGTCACACTGCCGTACAACACAAACACATACACACACGTTCTCCTCTCCCACCCGACCGACTCACCAATAGTACTTGTCCTCCCGGTCGTCACCATGGGTCTGCAGCAGCTTGGGTCGCTGGGGGGCAGTGGGAGGCGCTAGGGCGGCTGCGAGGAGGGGGTAATCAGGCACAGGAAACAAAGGGGGGAAGGCTTTTAGCACATTAGGAGCAATCGAAAGGAAAAGAGATAAGATTCCCATACTGTTGAAGGCGCGCGGCGGGGATTGTATTGACCTTGCTGAGACAGAAATAACACCAACGCCCTGGAACGATTGAGTCATGCAGTAAGGTCGCTGTATGGCCACAAGCACTGGGCATTAGTGAAAGGGATTCATCAAAGAACGACCATCACGTTCAACACGTCGTTCCATCCCTTTGCCACAATGATGTTGTACTGGGTTAACGATCAATTGGCGGTGGAAGGAGGCCACCGTATGGCATCCGAGCTGGCTCACAGCATGCACACGACCCCACGACCCAACACGGCACCACGGCCCTCACCAGGTTACGCCCCTGTATTGCATTCCGCCTGCCAGCCTGTACGTGCAACACAGCGCATGGCGTACAGGCCAACCAAGCCATACCAAAGTTGTAGTGAAGACTGGAGTCGCAGGCTCCCATTCCCATGCCTCCACTCCCGGGCTCCCAGGTTCCCATGCTTCCAGGCACACAGGTTCTCAGGCTCCCAGGCTCCCAGACCCGATATGGTGGAAGAGGATAAGGTGGGGGCACGGGGTACAGAAAATTCGGGTACACGGACATGGATAAAGTAACCCACCCAAGCATGTTCATGGCTATTTATTGTGTGTGTGTGTGTGTGTGTGTGTGCATGCGTGTGTGAGTGCATGCGTGTGTGTGTGTGCGTGCGTGTGTGCGTGTGTCCTCCGCTGCTTAAAAAAAGACATTAGCTGCCCGCCTTAACGAACCAACAGATTCCAAGTTGTGACCACGGCAAACAGGAACTGACTGACTGGATTGCTTGATTAAGGCTGTGGGGTATTGGAAGATCTGTTGTGTACGACACGGGATATGCCAAGGGAAGCCGGTCGAACGATGCATGCATCCACGCAGCCTTCACGGCTGGTGAAAGCTGTGCCCACTGCTGCCTGATGGGCTTTACCACGTGGTTGGCCACCTCTTGTTTCCCCAGCTCCGGATGGGCTGCCACGACCTGCTTCTCCAGGGTAAACCTAAACCTAGCCTGAGCTGCCTCATCATGCAGCGATTTCCCGAATAACAAGTACCCGGTAACACCACGCCCATCCTTCCTGCTGTTGCTCCCCCCTGCACCACACGCTCACTACCATTCTCAGCACTAAGACCTACAGCAGCTCCAGAAGTGCACGCCCTCCACTGGGCTTTAGGTGGTGGGAAGACATTTCATCATCACTGCTTGCACCGCTGCCATCACTGTCGTCAGCACCACCGTCACCACAGCCGTCGCCACCACCACCATCACCACCACCACCGTCACCACCACTGTCACCACCGTCACCACCACCGTCACCACACCATCACCACCACCACGGTCACCATCACCACCGTCACCACCACCGTCACCACCACCACCGTCATCACCACCACCGTCACCACCACCGTCACCACCACCGTCGCCACCACCGTCACAACCACCGTCACCACCACCGTCACCATCACTGCCACCACCACCACCGTCACCACCACCATCATCAACACCACATCAACACCACTGTCACCTAGGGGTGGAAACATACGGATTACAGTTTTACGGTTTACAGTTTACGGTTACAGTAAATTAGGGTCGCCCCAAAATTTGGCCGTAAAATTATGGTGTCACGGTGTAACGTAATTTAGGGTAGTATTTCTGTCTAAATTTCCGTCGGACCGTAGAATTGCTCTCCTGACGTGCTCCCAGACCGCCGAAGTCCTCACCAAAACTCGTGAATCAATGCGCGTTGCTTGTTACCGTTGCCGTCAATGTTGTTGCTATTAGTCAAATTTTGGTCATTAGGGACCTGCAGCCGGGGCCTTTAAGCCGAATTTCGGCTGCGGGTACTGTTTTACCGTCGCAATTTACGGTCCAAAATGTCTATAAATTTCCACCCCTACGGTCACCACCACCACCACCATGGTGGCAAATGGTGGCAAATGGTGGCAAATGGTGGTGGTGCCACCACCGTCACCCCTTCAAGGAGCGGATGACCCTGTCGCTAGCCCTGCCTTGGACGGCTCTGTGAATGGTGCTGCGCTTGACCCTCCCAATGGCCCTCCCAATGGCCACGCCGCGAACGGTGCCGTGGACGCCGTTGGTGTCGCAAACGGTACTGTGAAAGGCGCTGCTCCTACCAAAGCCCCTGCCAATGGCCCCGCTGCAAGTCTAAATAGCCATCCGCATCCGTGCGTCCACGGCGACAGCTGCCTGCGACTTGGACCACACAGCCATGGGCGACCCAGGTGGAGACCTCAGGCCCCAAACCGCCAGATAAATATGTTTCCTAGATCTGATTTATTAGCTAACTGCTAGTTTTATCTTGCATGAAATGCAAAATGCATTCGCTGGCGCCAACGTAGCCCCCAGTACTGTGCATTGCGTTACATTTTCCATAAAACTTTTATGTACTTTTCAATTTACCATATGCTCAGCAAATTGCTAGGGAAATGGGCTCATCTGGACGCGCCGCGCTGCCGGCTTGCGCACGAGATCTCTGCGCGCGCTCCATGCCCGCGCGCGCGGAGAGCACCAGGATTCACAACAATGATATGTCGTTTGCTTCGCACAAGAATATGTTGGTATGTGTGGATATGTGTGTTGCTGAAGGGGCACGGGGCCTTTGCACCATCTGGGGAGCTTTTACCACACTGAAGTCAAGCCACCCCTTGTGATCAACGATCCTCCTGTCCTTCCACGAAATGGTGATTCGCACGTAGCACAACGCTACCATATGCATGTGTACGCAAGCATGTTCACGACTGTAACTCTTCCACAAGCATGAAACACCTGGAGGACACAGCGAGTGACCGACACAAAACGCTCATGAGGGCATGGTACGAAATTGAAGTACGGAGGGTTTATGTCTGCATTTACAACATTTCCGGAAGACGTGGCGGCTGTGATGTCATCTACTTTTTCCAACACGTACATAATGCCCAAATACCAGCCGCAGTCATTGCTCGAACTATTTCCCATTCCAGAGCTACAACCGCGAAGTGTAGCAGATCTATAATTGTCAACTCTTTTTAGTTCAGCATTTCACAGGGGGAGAAAGTCCTCCCGTCTTCGGTATAGAAAAATCATGTCATATCCAAACACTCCGTCAGAGCCCTCTATGGCTGTATCGCCAGTATCGTCAGTTTCTTCATCGGAAATACCATCAACGCCAGCTGGAGCGTGGTATTTAGTTTCTCCTCCCGCATAGACGTGTGCCAAGCATGTGGTGTTTTTTGGTCAGGAATGATGCTTTTCATCTAAGTGATTTGTATGATTTGCAGTGAAAATCCTGTGAAGGTTTCTTCCGACGGTCGTGGTCCCACGGGACCAGCACCGAGCGCAAAGACTGCCGCTGGACCCAGCTCCAGCAAAGGACAACAGGTATGGTTCAATACTGAATTGACTAGTGTAACTTCAGTAAAGTAAAATTAGTAAATTAATTTTACACTAGAAAATCTCCGTATTGTTAATAGATTCTAGTTTACTAAAATTATGCCCAGACAGCCCACATCCTGAAAATTCTTACAATACAATTTGTGTGATACTTATTTCCCGTTTTTTTATGTAGGTTGATATTACAGAGCGTATGAAGGT